CCAGACCCTGATTCAAATCATTGTTTATCTTTTGCTGACGTAGTTAATGAAAACTATCTAGAGCAGCGGTTCTCAACCTGTGGGTCTTGACCCCTTTGGGGGTCGCGGGACCCTTTTCCAGGGGTCACCTAAGACCATCTGAAAACATATATCCTTACAGCTATGAAGTAGCAACGAAAATAATTGTGTGGTTTGGGGGTCGCTACGACACGAGAAACAGTATTAAGGGGTCGCGGCACTAGAAAGGTTTAGAACCACTGATCTAGAGGCTGCGTCATCGCCTCTGTTATTTTTCTTTGATCGCCCCCCAACATCCATTTTTCCAATAAGAGCATTTATTCCGATACTGAATCTTGTATAGCAATTTAGTTAAGCCAAGCTGGTCTTTGCGTTGTTCAGTCTTACACCCATGATGAATAAAAATGGATTTGATGTTCATATTTACACCTATCATGCAATCACGCAGACAATTAGAACAAAAAAATTGAGTCCGAGTTAATGAACCGAGTTCCCTGTTGGATATGCCATACTTTCGCTCACTTCTATATTTCATACTAGAAGAACCTTGGATTGCAAAGTTATCAAAAGTCACGTGAGAACGCTCTTGCACCTGCGAATTCCAATATGTCAGCGATCAGTACTCCAATTGATGTCAAAAGATGGCCGTACCCATCTTGTGGTCAGCAGATGGCCGTACTCGCGTTGTGGTCAGCAGATGGCGTACACGACCCGCGGCACGCACCAAACAGTTTGATCTCTTGAGAGCATATCCAGTGTCCACTTTCATCATTCTTTTGTCTAGCGGTGTGAACGAAACATTTCGTCTAAAGGAGGCTTTGGCATTTGACGTGAGTTCTTAAACAATTTAAAAAATTTAAACCCCAGGTAGTGGCCTGACGATGCATAGGAACTCTTGAATGTACGATTTCATTTTGAAGCTCATGACATTGACCTATTTTTTCGATATGAGCCCCCTGGTATTTCGTCAATAAGCCCTTAATTGAGATACCCCTCTCCCCACCACACACACTCTGCACTATTCCTGATACAAATGATAAAAACAACAAAAGAGGTTTTGATGTTTAAATATCTTTACCATCATGCCATTACCGTTCCCAGGAAAACCATTCCTGTCATGCGCCTCAATTGCTATGACTATATTATTCCGAAGAGATGTTTTATCAAACGAATGGCAAAACAGATTTGCCATGTAAAAAGCAAATGAAAAAAAAAGCATCAGAAAATACAAATTGAAACTCTTAATCCAATGTTTTAGTCATTTCCTGATTTAACATCCAGATGACCGATGACTTCTAATCAAAATATTTCATTTGTTCATAAATAAGTAATTGAGATGCCTTAAAAAGTATCATATGGAACAGTTTCAATAGTAATAGTTCAAGTTCTAGATCAGACTCCAACCCCCCACACCCCTCTTTTTTTGTTTCTCTTGAATTGGATAAAAAACAACACACAACACAATAACACATTTTCATTTCATTCTTTATATACGGTAAATTAATTGTGTAAATGTTTTAGTAACAAACTTAAAATTCTTATAGACATTTTACGAAGTCCTGGAAATGGTCCAAAATTATAAAATTCTCAAAGTTTTGACTGCAATTTCTGACAAAACGTTTAACTTACGGTTTATTTTCTCAGCAGGCATAGCGCCACGGAAGGTTTCAAAGAAACAGGATCTGACGCTTGTGTTAAAAAGTTTGTTAGCTTTTAACACACATGTTCGCTTGGATTACTATAAGCTGACAGTGGGCTTAAATGTATTCAACATTCTTTTTAAAGTCATTTTTTAAAGACAATGACAGAATCAGGGTTAAACATCATGCTTGCCTTTAAAATTAACGAAACAATAATAAATATAGAAAAATATATTTTTTGCTCCTAAATTAAAATCCGGAATTGGTTTAAATTAAACGACTCCGAGGTTCCTCAAGGGCAGTAAATATAATGGCACACTAAATTATTTATACCTAATTCTAAATTTGGGGTACTAACTCTGGGGGTTTTATGATTGTAAATTTGAGAACAGCTGTATAAATTATTCCTATCACTTTATACTTAATACTAAGACGTATCTGGAGAACAATACTTTATTATCACAACTACCAGGTAACTACTCTCAATACCACTATGCACACTTCGTAAGAAGTTACACTAAGTGTCATTTACACTGTGGGGAGTAGACAGTGACGACTCAAGGCATGGGCGCCCACACGGGGGGGGGCAAGGGGGGCACTTGCCCCCCCCCTGGATTGACTGGATACAATTTTTTTAGACAAAAATAGACAAACATGTATTAAAGTAAAGAGAAAATAAAGAGAAAGTAACTAAGCTGATGTCCTGTCCGTTCGTTCACCATACAAATACAATACAGTAAATTAAAACTACATTAAAACATTACTAACAATTTTTTGCCCCCCCCCTGGAAAGTTAATCGATTTTTTTGCCCCCCCCCTAGAAAGTTTTCTGCGGGCGCCCATGACTCAAGGTACCGGAAACAATGGAAGCTGCCCCGGGCGCCTTGTGCTTAAGGCGCCATCAACGATCCTCAAAAAAATAGGACAAAAATCATCTCATGTGGGCTCAAGTCGTTAGCATTTTTTAAAATTCTCTTCTTCGTGGATTTTTAATTTTAAAAAAAATTTACTGGCATTCGGTCTCGATCATAATCTCCAGTTTTCCTGAGGTTTCGAGGGTTACTGGATAATAAACTATTAATGGCGTCATCACCTTGTGTGTATTAATCCTGTATTAAAAAAATAAATTGGAGTGTGCGTGGGGTGGAAACAATAAATAAGAAAGCACAAAATCAACCGCCAACCACCACACAACATGTGCTTTGAAATCACTTGCGTAAAGAACGACATGACGTCTAAAGAACAACACACAGTCTAAAGAATAATACACAGTCTATAGAACACATTCTAAAGAACAACAAACAGTGTAAAGAACAGACATTCTAAAGAACGCACAGTCTAAAGCACAATACAGTCTAAAGAACGAAACAGTCTAAAGAAGATGCAGTCTTAAGAACAACGCATAGTCTAAGAAACACACAGTATAAAGAACAACACAGTCTAAAGAACAACACACAGTCTTAAAATTGACAGGAAGTGATTCTCAGTCCGTTTAAGAAACGTGTGTAAGTTTGTGGGAATTCCTGCATGCACTTTAAAGCATCATGTCTAACATCAAGGGACTCTGTCTTGTTTATGCTCAGTCTTAAATATCATGAATTTTATTAATCGCGGAAGCATTACATTATGTACGTAGGAGAATTACTTATTCATGTTACTGCATTTACCATCATAAAGAGTGAGTAAGATTTGTATGTGCTTTGTTAAAACAGAACTCGTGCAGACACATCTAAGAAAAAAATTAGTTGTGTCTGGTCAATAATCGAATTTTATACAGATGCTTCCGTATTTTAAAAAAATTACAAATATGATTTATATTTTGTATTTTTGTTAAGTCGACAAAAATTGTTTTGCCCTATATATTACAAGAATGCTAGTATTATATACATCTTTGGACCAGGGTTTGCTGGTCCATCTGACGTCAGAGGAAGACCCCCATGTACAGATTTCATCAACAATTTCTTTTTTTTTTTTCAAAATTAAATTTAGGATTTATATGTAGAGAGCTTTTTAATGTTATGTTCAAAATATGACACCATCTTTCATATTACAGTATGTTCAGTATGAGAATATGTTCAATTTGGCAATATGTTCCATATCGCCACATGGCAATATTTTCGATAAGACTTTACGTTAAATTTTGTAAGAAGGTACATTGTATGATCCCGGTGTCCCACAAGTTTTTTGAAAGTAAGTTAAAGGCTTTCCGGGGAAATCATCCCATCCCGGTGAGAAAGTCTCAGAATAAAAATGACATTTTGTGGCCAATTGTCACTATAAGTCAGGACCAGTCAAATCTAATGAATTTAAATTCGCCGAATTATGATGCACATTAGCTTTAGCTTACACTAACACTCAAAGGTCCTCAAACATTTTCAAGGCGCGATCACATTCAAATGGAAGCAAAGTGACTCTTAACGCGATATATATTTTCTAATTGCTTTTAAAACGTGTACATTTTTTTTTGGGGGGGGGGGATGAAAACAGGAAAACTAGACATTTAATTATAACATAGTTTTTAATAATATATATGCAAAAGTTGAATTTGTAATTCAAACTTAAATAAACAAATTATATATATATATATATATATATATATATATATATATATATATATATGTGTGTGTGTGTGTGTGTGTGTATTTCTCAGCAGCCCGATTTTGGGTCATGTCCCATTATCTGGAAACGTGTGTTCTTTTAACGTGTTTATACCAGGATGTTTCAAAATACCTTTATATTATGTGGTGTTTATTTAATTCTAAAATCAATTCTAATTAATACATTTAGGCACCCTCTTGCAAAAAAAAATAAATAAATAAATAAAAGTATATATTTTATATACATTTTGCATGAGGCGTTTCAAGTTTTCGATCTCTGAAAATGGTGCCGTGGCGGGTACCCCACTTCTGCACTATCACGCCATGACAATTCTAACAGTACACACACAGCTTGACATCTGTTGAATTGTGTCGTTTTAAACATCAGTGAAGCGTATTGGAATAGTGTTGAAAGTGATTGATCGTCACAATAGAAAACATGTGTTCTTGTGTCATTCTGCTGTTTAAATTGACTTCATTTTGCTGATATTTTTAACATCATTATCCACTTGATATTGATTAATACGTGTTTTTTTGATAGCGATAACTTGCAATCAAGATTAGTGAGCTGTTAATTCTTTTATAATTATTTATATTTTAAAAAGGTTTATTTTTTTGTGTAGATGTAACTATATTGCCACTGAGTAGTGATGAACTTATTGTGTTGATAAACTATTGGATTAATCAACTTACAGTATCGATTAACTTATTGTTTTGTTTAAAAAAATATGTTGTAGCCCTTGCAATGGAGATCGATATCAGGATGTCGTCGACGATCCATTACTGTGAGACAAGCCGCGAAATCATCAACATCGTCAACCCACACAGCGAGGAGATCGTTAAGGACATCAACTTCGTCAACTTGACCTGGTTCGTCAAACGAGCCAAGAACGCCGAGGAGAGAGCCATGGAGTACTTCACCACGGCGATACCACTCTCGTCCGATTACGGCGTCTACAAATTTTGGGGATTGGAGGTAGTAGACCTGGGTAGACCATTTCTGATGTAGGAGGTAGTAGGCCTGAGTGAATCATTTCTGTAGTTGAGGTAGTAGGCCCCAGTGAATCCTTTTTTTTTGTTGGAGGTAGTAGGCCTGGTTGGACCATTTATGTTGTTGGAGGTAGTAGGCCCGAGTGAATCCTTTCTGTTCTTAGAGGTAGTAGGCCCCAGTGAATCATTTCTGTTGTTGGAGGTAGTGAGCCCGAGTGAATCATTTCTGTTATTGGAGGTAGTAGGGCTGATTGAATCATATTTTTTTTAAGGTAGTAGGGCTGAGTGAATCATACTTGTTTTTGGAGGTAGTAGGGCTGAGTGAATCATATATTTTTTTGGAGGTGGTAGGGCTGGTTGAATCATATTTGTTTTTGGAGGTAGTAGGGCTGAGTGAATCATATTTGTTTTTGGAGGTAGTAGGGCTGGGCGAATCATTTCTGTTTTGATGCTGGTTGGTTTTTAAAAAAAAAATTATAATTATGTTTTTGCTATGCATCGTAGCAAACAACATGTTGATGAGTTCATATTCTTAAAGGACTCAATGTGCAATTTAATTTTGTTTGTGTTTGGCATATATATGTACACAAAAAAAATATATATTTCGGAGTAGCCTAAAAGTAAAGAACATGACACCTAGAACAGCTTATTTTCTCAGTGTGGTTGATTACGGGGAACGTTTCAAGTGTTTGGGTCAGAAATCCAATTTCCTTATATATATAAAATGTGTTGTTGTGACGTGGTAGAGATTTTTAAACCAGTATTCGATTCCATTGGTTCCATAAAACCAGAATATTTTTTTAAAAATACAATTATACGGTTGAAAGAGGGGAGAGGGGTGGTTCAGGGGTGTAATCAAAGTATGCGTATAGTTACTATTTAAAATAGAATGAATTATTTAAGAATTAGAATAACTATACGTGTAGAAGAGTGAATTATTTAAGAATTAGAATAACTATACGTGTAGAAGGATGAATTATTTAAGAATTAGGATAACTATACGTGTAGAAGAGTTAATTATTTAAGAATTAGGATAACTATCCGTGTAGAAGAGTTAATTATTTAAGAATTAGGATAACTATCCGTGTAGAAGAGTTAATTATTTAAGAATTAGAATAACTAAACGTGTAGAAGAGTTAATTATTTAAGAATTAGGATAACTATCCGTGTAGAAGAGTTAATTATTTAAGAATTAGAATAACTAAACGTGTAGAAGAGTTAATTATTTATGAATCCAATGTCATTTCTATATTTGACGATATATAATATTAAATAATGTAACGCGTTTAACAGAACATTTTACGTTATAACCTGATTTAAAAGTCGTGTACTCTTTTACCTATTTTGTATTAAAATGACACCTTGAAAGGTTAAAAAAGTATTCAGGGACACGATCAGTTACTCGGCCCGTCTCTACTTGAAGAATGAAATCAAAGACACCGTATTTAACATCGAGTTCAATGGTAAGTCAATAGGATTACAGTTTTATTTCTTACCATTTTCTCCTCTGACTAAACATGAGTTGTAGTTTTTGTCATAAGCTACACTTTAAAAAAAATGTCCATGATGCAAAATCAAGATCAAACTTTGCTACCGAGACGACAGCACCTTTTGTTTATCAAAGGCGTGTAGTACAGAAAAAAAAAGCCAACTTTCAATACATAGCAGATCCCTTTATTTCGAGGTTTCTCTTTCCTTAAAATGCGTTATATATAAATATATATATATATATATATATATATATACATATATATTCTTTTGGTAATCATCGTTTATTTCTAATCTTAGTTGCCATTAAGTTGAAGATCTTCTTTGTGTCTTGTTGCCATTAAGTTGAAGACGCTCTTTTGTGTCTTGTTGCCATTAAGTTGAAGATCTTCTTTGTGTCTTGTTGCCATTAAGTCGAAGACCCTCTTTTGTGTCTTGTTGCAATTAAGTTGAAGATCTTCTTTGTGTCTTGTTGCCATTAAGTCGAAGATCCTCTTTGTGTCTTGTTGCCATTAAGTTGAAGACCCTCTTGTGTCTTGTTGCCATTAAGTTGAAGATTTTCTTTGTGTCTTGTTGCGATTAAGTTGAAGATCTTCTTTGTGTCTTGTTGCCATTAAGTTGAAGATCTTCTTTGTGTCTTGTTGCCATTAAGTTGAAGATCTTCTTTGTGTCTTGTTGCGATTAAGTTGAAGATCTTCTTTGTGTCTTGTTGCCATTAAGTTGAAGGCCCTCTTTGAGTCTTGTTGCAATTAAGTTGAAGATCTTCTTTGTGTCTTGTTGCCATTAATTCGAAGACCCTCTTTGTGTCTTGTTGCCATTAAGTTGAAGATCTTCTTTGTGTCTTGTTGCCATTAAGTTGAAGATCTTCTTTGTGTCTTGTTGCGATTAAGTTGAAGATCTTCTTTGTGTCTTGTTGCCATTAAGTTGAAGATCTTCTTTGTGTCTTGTTGCGATTATGTTGAAGATCTTCTTTGTGTCTTGTTGCCATTAAGTTGAAGACCCTCTTTGAGTCTTGTTGCAATTAAGTTGAAGATCTTCTTTGTGTCTTGTTGCCATTAATTCGAAGACCCTCTTTGAGTCTTGTTGCAATTAAGTTGAAGATCTTCTCTGTGTCTTGTTGCCATTAAGTTGAAGATCTTCTTTGTGTCTTGTTGCCATTAAGTCGAAGACCCTCTTTGTGTCTTGTTGCGATTAAGTCTAAGACACATTTTCTGTCTGTTTGCCTTTAAGTTCAAGACAGTCTTTATTTTTTTTCCCCAATAAGTTAAAGACAATGTTTGTGTTTTGCATTTTCTTTTCAATTTTTTTTCCTTTATTCAACAGTACCGCCTAAGCTAAAATCCCCCCACATGTATATCATAGAAGATGTGAACTTAGCCATTGGGATAGTCACGTACAGCTGTGGCCAGATTGGCGAGTACGGCCATCCTGGAGTCAAGGTGGTGTGGAGGGTGAGTATGACCAGACTGTCTACTGTTAAAGATGCAGGTGTAGTGTTTTAGATTAATATAAAGGGCTATAGATTGAAGTCTACTGTTACAGACTAAGTTCTTCTGTTACAGATGTAGGTCTAGTTTTTCAGATTGATGTCTGGGGTTAAAGAATGATGACAAATGTTAAAGATGGAGGTCTAATATTTTAGATTGATGTCTAGGGCTATAGAATGATGACTAGTGTTACAGATGGAGGTCTAATATTTTAGATTGATGTCTAGGGCTATAGCATGATGACTAGTGTTACAGATGGAGGTCTAATATTTTAGATTGATGTCTAGGGCTATAGAATGATGACTAGTGTTACAGATGGAGGTCTAATATTTTAGATTGATGTCTAGGGTTATAGAATGATGACTAGTGTTACAGATGGAGGTCTAATATTTTAGATTGATGTCTAGGGCTATAGAATGATGACTAGTGTTACAGATGGAGGTCTAATATTTTAGATTGATGTCTTGCGTTATAGAATGATGACAAGTGTGACAGATGGAAGTGTAGTAGTTTAGATTGACGTTTAGTGTCATAGAATGATGTCTAGGTTCATAGAATGATCTCTAGTTTTACAGATTAATGTCTAGAGTTACAGATGGACTCTAGTATTTTAGATTTTTGCAGTGGGTTGTTGAGTGATGTCTAGTTGCAAAGATTGATGTATAGTATTTAAGATGTATGTCTGTCATTGCTGATCTAAGCTTAGTATTACAAAGTGATGCCATGAATTATAAATATGTGTAAATTGTTATTTAATGATGTGTACTATATCTTAAAATTTAGTTTTAGTAATTAATGTCAGGCGTCACACTTTGAAATCTTGTTTTACACTCGAATGTCTTAATTACACTGGGATGTCTAGTAGCACAACCGAATGTCTAATATCACGGTTTTATGTCTTTTGTACACTATGATGTCTTGTTTTACACTGTGATGTCTAGTATTACACTATGATTTCTTGTTTTACACCGTGATGCCTAGTATTATACTTGGATGTCTAGTATTTCATTAGGATGTCTAGTTTTACAATTTGATGTCTTTTTTAAATCCTTTATACTAACTTCGCTTTTGTTTTTTTTGTTTTTTGTTGGACTGGCTGGATGGAAGGCAAAATCTTCGGACGGCTAATTGACCTAGTTCCGGTCAACCTATCGAGCTGAAACTTGGCAAATATTCTTGATGCCAATGACAAGACACATTCTGTGAAATTTTCAGCCCCACCATTCAAAAATTAATTTCCCCCGTTCTTCATGGGGAACATGAAATTAAACTCTCTCTTACGGCCCTACATACGTTTTTTTTTTTTTTTTTTTTTTTGATATGACAAGTGCGTTTGGTGCGTTTTATTTCCGTTCGTTTTTCTGAAAAAGTGCGCTACGTGGTGCGCATGCTGTGTCAAATGTTCAGCCCCCCTCCCCTCCCACACCGTTGCTCGATATTGCATTTTATAAAGGATTTATACGAAAAAAATAAATATGTTATTTGTGGTTGTTTATTACACTTTGATTTGTAGATTGACATTTGGATGTGTCGTTTGACAATTTGATGTATTTTCTTACATGTGGATGACTCGCTTTAAATGTTCACATATTTACTAGAGAAATCACAGTGACTTTGTCGTTGCCGCTTTAAAAAAAAATTGGGTTGCTTCATAAACATTCGGCGATGATCGAAAAGGTCTTGATGTCAATGGATTTTAACTTCACGATTTTTTTTTTTTTGTTTTTTTTTTGAGAGATTCTTTTTTTTTTTATTTATTGCTATAGCAAATATACATATTGCGATTAGCATGGTTAACGTAAGACTCCAACTTATATAAGAACGCTAGTCTATAGGCTGAAATAGTTCTAGCTGAGTTAAACAAACAAAATTAAATTGAAACTGTTACAATTTATTTCCAGTAGTGTGCCCTGGCAAATGATGATCTCTATATAGATGCCAGGTTCCCTCTGATGCGCCTTACCTAAATAATAATATTATTTATTCGTTAGAAATTTTAAAGTTGAAATTATAATTAAGTGATTTAGCTTCTAAAATATCAGAAGGCAAACGTGATTTATGTGGGGCAATTTTCAGCTTAAAATTAGTATTTTTCCGTCCTTTTATTTAACGATTACTAACAATCAGCTAAGACACCATCAAAAAGTCTCAAATATTTTACTAGTAAAAAGTTCAAAAAGTGTTATGATAAAATTTGTGTTTGATTGGTATGATGGGACACAAAAAAAAAAATTGAATGATTTGCTTAAAAAATATTTTATTTGAATGATGAGATTAAATGTTTGCTTCGCGTCAAAGCAGCTTGTTTTATTTTTAACGTCAGTGAAAGATTAAACATACAATAACTATTTGATCCCTCCGTGTGTCAGATTTAAGAAATTGAGACTTATTGTTGATATTTAAGTGAATTTGTAATTTGTAATATTTTTTAAAAACTTTTCAGTCTGAAGAGGGCCACAAGACTACAGTAAAATACGCCAATGGTTTTGCCAATATCACAGTGTCTGCCTCAGGTATGTTTGCATTTGTTCAATTTAAATGTTTCTTGCGCAAAATTAAATATATACATATATACATACGTATGTTTCGCAAGGCCTATTTTAAGAAATTCTCTACAAGTCCAAAAGTTACTTGACCTTAAATTGGAGCACACGTGAAAGCAAGCTAATTAGGGTTCATGCTTTTAAAACTTAAACGTAACATTGACCTACGGGTAACAGACGTGTGGATTGGTTAATGATCTAGTAGCAAGGACAACGCAGAACGAGTAAAACAAGCATGTAGTCTGTGGTCAGTCCGGTACACTTGCTTGGACGGCCTTCCACCACGCCAGGTAAGGGTTCGAGAAGAGTTGGAAAAGGACAGCCACCAGAAGCGTGTAACGATATTTTGAGTTACCTTTGATCCACACGATAGTTGAACAAGGTGAAGAGATTGCTGATGACTTTCACTCAGCTAGGTGAGAAAAGGCAAAGCTATTGTTCAATACCTTTCCTCCACGAGGGGATGTTGCCTCAATCAAAGAAGAGGAATATGATTTGATTGCATACTCTTCTATCTTGATCAGGTGCTGGGCACTGGGCGTGTGGCATGGACAGGAACGCTCCTGCATTCAAGTGTATATTAAATGAAGATTTACCAAGGTGGGAGGATGTTCATGTTGGTGAGCATATGCGAGGTAAACAAATGGTGTTGACTCACTGGAAGCTTGGTATAATAGAATAAATTGCCCATCGATACAATCAAATGACTTGCCCATCGATACAATCAAATGACTGGCCCATCGATACAATCAAATGACTGGCCCATCGATACAATCAAATAACTAGCCTATCGGTACAATGAAATGACTGGCCCATCGTTAGGATCAAAGTAATGGCACATTGGTACAATAAAATGACTGGCCGATCAATAAAATAAAATGACTGGCCCATCGCTACAATAAAATGTCTTGTCCATCGGGACAATCAAATGACAAAAAAGTCATGATTTTTACACTACAAATGGACATTTAAAAATATTAAAATACCCATTTGACTGAAATAGGCTATCAAATTTAGAGATACATTGTTTATCTCTATTACTAAAGGTTTGACGCCACATCCTTTGACTGACAACGTTACGATTTAAAAACAAAGATGCTTTCTTTTTCCCTTTGTTTTCAGACGAAAATTTAATAATGAAGCGCTATCCCGAGTATCCAGAGCCAGTGTACTGCAGGAAGACGATGGCTGCCGGTCAGGACAAAATGGTCTACACTGGGACACTAATTGCAAACAAAAGTGCGATAGGCGGGAGGTCCTTTGTGAACTTTCAAGTGAGAAATCCCAGATTATCTTTGGAATTTTCATCGGTAGGGGATCTTGCCTTAATGTGTTGTCAACGTAAGACTTGTAAATGTATGGCTTGTGCTTGTAAATCTAAGGCTTGTGAATATAAGACTGGTAAATATACGGCTTGTAAATGTATGACTTGTAAATCTAAGGCTTGTAAATGTACGGCTTGTAAATGTAAGGCTTTTAAATGTAAGGCTTGTAAATGTAAGGCTAGTAAATCTAAGGTTTTTAATGTAAGGCTTGTAAATATAAAGCTTTTAATGTACGGCTTGTAAATGTAAGGCTTGTAAATATATAACTTTTAATGTACGGCTTGTAAATGTAAGGCTTGTAAATATATAACTTTTAATGTACGGCTTGTAAATGTAAGGCTTGTAAATATATAACTTTTAATGTACGGCTTGTAAATGTAAGGCTTGTAAATATATAACTTTTAATGTACGGCTTGTAAATGTAAGGCTTGTAAATATATAACTTTTAATGTACGGCTTGTAAATGTAAGGCTTGTAAATATATAACTTTTAATGTACGGCTTGTAAATGTAAGGCTTGTAAATATATAACTTTTAATGTACGGCTTGTAAATGTAAGGCTTGTAAATATATAACTTTTAATGTACGGCTTGTAAATGTAAGGCTTGTAAATATATAACTTTTAATGTACGGCTTAAAAATGTAAGGCTGCAAAAGTATGACTTGTAAATCTAAGACTTGAAAATTTAAGGCTTATAAATATATGGATTGCATATGTAAAGATTGCAAATGTAAGGCTTGTAAATGTAAGGTTTTTAAATGTAATGCTTTTAAATGTAAGGCTTATAAATGTAAGGCTTGTAAATGTAAGACTTGTAAATGTAAGGCTTGCAAATTTAAGGCTTCTTAATGTAAGGCTTTTAAATGTAAGGCTTGTAAATGTAAGGCTTGTAAATGTAAGGCATGTAAATGTAAGGCTTGTAGATGTAAGGCTTTTAAATGTTAGGCTTGTAAATTTAAGGCTTTTAAATGTAAGGATTGTTAATGTAGGGCTTTTAAATGTAAGGCTTGTAAATATAAGGCTGGTAAATGTAAGGCTTACGGTCTTGCCCTCTAGTCAACAGACCTTGAAACTCATGAAAACTAACATCATTCAGTCTCTAAAATTTAAAATCCATTGCAATTACATAGATTTATGGATCTTTTATGTTCGGTTTTTTTTAGTTCCAAGCTTATAGCCAGTTGAGTTATATCTTTTTCTTCTTTAGAAAAAACAACAACTTATACTCGTAAATAAAGATAGTTCTCAGAGATAACGTTGATTAAAAAAAAAAAAGAAAGACAATTCCACTCTTTAAATTAAATGCAAAGAATCAAATCACCTAATGAGATGTTATCAGTTTTCGGTTCCTCACATTCTATATTTGGACAGATATGTACCATAGATATTAAAGGAAGCCAGTGTCAGGGGCGGAAGCAAGGCCAGGAATGCTACTGCGTGATAGTCTCCGAGGAAGAGTACCGCCTTGTAGCCAACGTCACGGCGAAGCACGGGTACAGTCAAAACTACATCCGCTTGTGGTGGCCAGACTCGCCCAAAGACCAAGCACACGGGCAACCGAGTAGTTCTGATACTTTGCCTTTTATTGAATCCCAAAAAAGTAAGCAACAGGGAAACATTAAACACAATTTTATTTATATTTTTCACTGGGCTGTGGTGTTGGGGGGAAAAACATAGATTAACTACTTCTTTGGGGGAGTGGGGAGTGTTTATTAAAATTTTAGTTCCATGGCATTTTTTTGCTGGGGCCGACCGAATGTAGGTTTCGGTTTCGGCATGGAAAGATGCCATTTTATCACTTTCGGCGTAGATTTGGTTTCGGAAACAACAGAAAAGTTAACTTTACGTTTATTTTTTGTTTCGGGTGAAAATGATTAAGGCTTTCAGCCGTCTACCAGAAAACAGAGAGTGAGAGTTATCTATAAGAAGAAATATGTTTCACAGAAATAAGATATGTCCTTTAAATATCATCGCACTAATCACATTTCCTATTATGATTCATAAAATCATCGCCTTTTACTTCAGATTAATATTTACACAAATTGTCTCGTCACTTATAATGGCTGTTCAAGTCACAAAGTATTGGTTTCCACATGACGAAATTAACCTCTCTGATTGGCCACACTTTATAAGTCTCAAAGCTCAGTATAATATGCACTGGAAAATTAACTATATATCTGTCTCCCACTGGTGGTTCACATCCGCATTAACGTAGTTAAACGTAGCTCAACATTCTTTAAAATACAATTTTTTTAAATCTGGGTCAAATCTCATACTATCTGATAAATGATAATTACGGAAAGACAAAATACTTTGATTGTCGATCAATAAGAAAGCGGGGTTCAACGAAAATGTATGGTTTAATGGAAGAAAGAGTTCCTTCAAGGCTTATGTCTGGACATTTGAGTGCACCATCCCAACTAACAATATATAGGATAAGCCTTCGATCGATACTAAATATGTCTTTGTAGCGATGTAATTATATTATCAAAACAAATCCCTCCCAAGGGTATATTTAGCATGAATTTAGCCCCCCCCCTCCCTTTTTAAAAAAAATAAAATAATTCACTTAGCATACTATTTTACAATTGATTTTTAACAATTTTAAACTATTTTTTGCTTCAAATGGCAAAAGCCAACGTATTATCAAATGTTTATCTATTACAATTCACGATACTCTATTGTTTTATTTTAAAACATAATTAAATATCGATACGTTTCCCTACTTTTATACACGTTTGTTGAACGAATGCGCGTACCAGTTTCAATTTATTTAAATCTATCAGTTTTTTGTTGAGAGTCTCGTTAAGATTTTTGTCTTGGCTTCGCTTTTGGCCGAAATCAGAAAATCACCAACGTGTCAGTCGTAGGCTGCAGACTAGTGTTTGCGCGTGTGTCTTTTAATATCTTTGACAGCCGAGTTTCGTTTTTGTCCAAGGTCATTAGGTCTTATTATTCTATTGTTGGGTTTTGACTTGCAGACATTTTCTTTTGAGACTATTTGGTATCAACAATTTATATAGCGCACGATGTAGGGGAGAACATGGAGCCTGAACGCAGCCATCCCCATATTTTATGTTTTCCTATTCCTTTGTGTCCCATTCCATGTTTACCTATTCCATTGTTTCCTATTCCACTGTTTTCTAGTTCATCGTTTCCGATTCCATTGTTTCATATTCCTTTGTGTCCTATTCCATTGTTTGCAATTCAATTGTTTCCTACTCAACTGTTTCCTATTTTATTGTTGCCTATTCCATTGTTTTCTGTTAAAGTAGGGCATGAAATAAATTAATGGAAGGAGAGCTGATGTTCCAAGAAACAACAAATTAATAGGGATTTTTTTTTAAATAATGAATATTTTTCTCTTTAAATTTTAGTGTTTCTTTTTCCTCATTTCCCTTGCTAACAGATCCCGATAAAATAGTCCTACAGATGAATTACGATCCCATCAGTCATGACAACTGCCTGCTGCACATCAAGCAAGGCCGGAACTACACGTTCACGTTCTGCGCGCTGAATCTCAAGCAACCGATGCTAAAGATCGCATTCGACAAGAAGGACGCCAGCGTCCAGCCGTCGCGCTTCAACTGCAGCACGAGGTCGGTCCTGGTGCAGGATGACCACCTGGGCGCCTACTACACGTTCAGCTTCTATGAGGAGGAGCCGGGGTGTGTGCGCAGCGATAGTATTTCATGTTTAGTTGACGGTGAGTGTTGAGACGGGTCAGCGGGAGCTCCAGGGAGAGGAGGCGCCTCCCTGAATCAGAAATTTCCACTTCGTGATACACAATACGGATGTATTCCGAAACATATTTCTGACACTAAAAGAGGCATTCTAAGACGTATTTTCTGACACAACAAAAATAGGCATTCTAAGACGTATTTTCTGAAGCACTAAAAGAGGCATTCTAAGACGTATTTTCTGACACATCAAAAATAGGCATTCTAAGACGTATTTTCTGACACACTAAAAGAGGCATTCTAAGACGTATTTTCTGACACAACAAAAATAGGCATTCTAAGACGTATTTTCTGAAGCACTAAAAGAGGCATACTAAGACGTATTTTCTGAAGCACTAAAAGAGGAATTCTAAGACGTATTTTCTGAAGCACTAAAAGAGGCATTCTAAGACGTATTTTCTGAAACACTAAAAGAGGCATTCTAAGACGTATTTTCTGAAACACTAAAAGAGGCATTCTAAGACGTATTTTCTGAAACACTAAAAGAGGCATTCTAAGACGTATTTTCTGACACACTAAAAGAGGCATTCTAAGACGTATTTTCTGACACACTAAAAGAGGCTCTTGGAAACATTAAACCATACATTCTAATAAAGCTTTATGAAACGCTGAAATAAGTCATCTGAGACATTTTCAAGTCACGCTAAAACAGGTTTTTACTAGAAAGTTTCATGACATATTAAATGATATTTATCTGAGACATCTTCATGACACACTAAAAGAGCTAAAGGAAGCATTCTGTGACCTTTACGACACATGAAAAGACACATTATAAGATAGATTTATAACACGCTAAAAATCAATCATCTGCAACACGTCCACCAATTTAAGCGCTAAGAATGACACCCTGAGACTGTTGTCATGACCCCAACGTCGTACTGTCCCATTCATGATTCAAAATCATACATGACGATAATTTCTAATGTTCGTGAAACTGAGCAGACAGTCGCTGGTCCCACATCTTACTTTCATCTAGAGGGCGCGCAGTGTATCAATCATGCATCATGATTAGAACTCCACACTTTCCATTAGATGTGGACAATGGTCAATGGAGGGTTGTGTTCAGTTTCACTAATTACCATGATCTGTAGTTTGAATCTGGTTTCTCCTTCATTACTTTAACTAGCATCCACTACTTTTTAATGCGATATTGAACATATTGCATTAGAGATTTAGATGATCTCGCTCATATAATTATTAAAAGTCATGACAGAAGTGTCGGTGAGGGTTGTTAAATAAGTATACAGATATATATATATAATATATAATATATATAATTATCTATATTATATTTTCAGAACAGAAAAGCATAGCCCTTTTCGCAAGTCTAGTTGTTATTATTCCCGTGGCAACTCTTATATTTGGGTCTGTTATTGTTTACTTCTGTTGTAAGTATTCATCTCAGACAACATTTGGATCTGTTATTGTTTACTTCTATTGTACGTATTCATCCGAGACAACATTTGGATCTGTTATTATTTACTTATGTTGTAAGTATTCATCTGAGACAACATTTGGATCTGTTACTGTTTACTTCTGTTGCAAGTAATCATCTCGCACAACGTCTCTCAACCAATTATTTGAGGTAGCATTTTTTATGGTTTGAGAGAAAAAGTTATGATTTTCATGTCGACATAATTTCTTATCAATTCATACGCTTTGTTTATTCTATTTAATGAGCCACAATTGTATGTTCTAAGTTTTACCGTTCTCTTTGTAATTCAGTTTTTTTTTGTTTTTGTGTGTGTTATAAATACGACTGTTTATTAATTCCTTTGTGACTGTCATCCATGTCTGATGTCTTATGTATGTGGCTAGCTACTTAATAAGTCTCTTTATCACGTGTGTCTTATTTATGTGGCTAGCTCCATAATAAGTCACAAATATGTGTTTACTTGACAGTGTCATTTGCATGTGGCCGTGGGATAGGAAATAAGACATCATTTAAAACTCATGTAACTTTTTAAAAAAAAAATGTTTTGTTTTTTTAATCACGATAGAATTATTAGAATAACGTTTTAATAACGGTAGGGGTTTCATAATAATGTATCGATGTCGTAAGAGCTATAAGAAAATGTACCGAGGGTAAATCCAACATATAGCCTATAATGTCGAGCGCAGAGCAAATATTAGATTCTTTGATTTCAACCGAAATAAAATGTTACTATTTCGACTACAGGGTCGCTGACTCGGCAGGACGACGCAGGTAAGCGACATTAAATATTTTAATTATTTAAAAAAAAATTATTATTATTCTTTTAATATCATTTTAAAAATAAATCTTTCGACTGATTTTTGTGTAAACATACTCATTTTTTTTTCAAAAGTCTCAGCAGACTAACCAAAAAAAACGAAATAAATAAATTTGTCAATTTCTTTTGAATAAATTAAAGTGCAATGATTTCGTAAAATTAAAGTAAAGTTTTAGTATGTATCAATACAACATAATCAATTTAATCAAGAGAAATCATTTCATCAGCTTGTCTAGAAAGACTTATTTTTATATTATTAATTTGAAAATACATTTAAATAAGTTTTTTTAACGGAAAAAAACACGTTTTTTTGGTGTGTTTTTTAAAGTGCTCTCTTTATGAGGTTTCATTCTATGATTTTAAACAAATGTAATAGAATAATGTTTACTTGAAATATTAACTATTCTTTCTTTTTTTTTTCCGGCAGAAAATATTAGCGATGGTAAGGATTCTGTTGTACGGTGTTGAAAACCTTTGAAACACAAGCTCATCTCCTTCAGTTACTTCGTTAAAAAAATATATCATCCTAAGCTTTTTGGTATATGTAATTAAAATTTTAAAATCGTAGATGTACTTTAGACTAAATGTATGTTTTGAAATAAATATTTACTGCATGCCGAGTATATGAAACACAAATACAACAAGCACCTTAGACTAATACAGCAATTCAAGACACATTAGACAAACACAACAATTCAAAACACATCGGACAAACACAACAGTACAAAACACATTAAACAAACACAACAGTACAAAACACATTAAACAAACACAACCGTACAAAACACATTAAACAAACACAACAGTACAAAACACATTAAACAAACACAACAGTACAAAACACATTATACAAACACAACAGTACAAAACACATATACAAACACAACAGTCAGAATTACATTCGACAAACACACTAATTCGAAAGCACATTAGACAAACACAACAGTACAAAAAAAGAAATAAGACAAGCACAACAATACAAAGCACATTGGACAAACACCAGAAAATAAGTCAAACGATTTGCAAATAACAAGACACGAAGTCGTTTTAGAACATGACATAGAGAGTGGTTCGTCAGTCGAGATCGAACATGACCACCTAGAATCATCGTATTAGTACAAATTGTGATCTCGGCTGTGGGTGCGCAGATGGCTGGTGTGACCGTTCCTGGCACGAAATGTTCTTGTTCGAGGTTGTGCAAGGGATCTCCAGGACATGCCCCCGTGTACAGTAGTGACCCTGGTTTTTCTAGCAAGTCTTTTGTGCTCTGCATGCGCTGTTCTGTTGGCTTTGTGTTGTATGGGGCCTCAGAGAACGCAAGGCACGTCACGGTCTTTAGACGATTTTCCCCATGCGTCGGTCTCTCTATCGAAAGCTTTCAGTGAGGCTTTTAGGTATACATAGGAAGTTTATACCTCAAATAAAGTATCCATTATTGCTATTAAGTTTTCAATTACAGTTAATATCAATTGGAATGAAATGTCAGTGCCATAAAACTTCTCATGTTCATTAGCTGAGGTTTTTAAAGAAAGATCCTCTATATTAAATTCGCTTCTGTTCGTGTGTCTCGGGCTGGGTGCAAAAAAAAAAAAAGTATCGCCGGACAGCTAATTGACCCACTATCCGTCAAACTATCAAGCTAACACTTAGCACATAGACTCGTTGCCGACGACCACATGTCCTTACAAACGTAAGGCCACCGACTTCATGCAATAAAATATCCGTTAACTGTGCTAAATGAGATGTGTACAAAAAAATATCGCAAGTGCTTTTGGTGCGTAATATTTTCTTTTATTTTTCGGAATTAGTTTGCGAAATAAATCTGCGGTGTAAAAGCGGGTGGGACACTAGAATATTTATATTTAAATAAAATAATACAAATGCATATAAAGTATCTATTCGAAAATTTAGATTTTTATAGGTTGTTTAATTTTGTTGTAATTTTCCCAATAGCAACCACACATACAGATGGTAAGTCATATGAATCAATATATGTATTTTGACTTCACAAAGGTATATAATAAAATTATTCTTTAACATTTTAAAAAGTTGTCAGTCTCTTTAAACAATATATTAGAAAACATTTTATGGACATTTTCTTAGCGGCTATATTATTCAATGTTTGCTGCAATGACAAACGCTTACGGCTGTTAAGTTTACTTTATATTCCTCTATGATTATCATATAGCAATGTCATATAGAATTATTTTACGACGTAAAAATTGTCTATATTTTGTAACGAGGAATTATATAAATATGTATTTAAATTTGTTTTTATGTTATTTCATGTGTGTTAATGTATCCATTTTTATTAATCCATGCAATTTCATTTTTCGCTGTGTAATCTCTTTAGTAACGGTGTTTTTTCATCTGTTGCTGTTGAAGTTTTTGATTTATTGTGTTATTTCATTTGTTGCTGTTGAAATCTTTGAGTAATGGTGTTATTTCATTTATTCCTCTGTAATTCATTAGGTTATTGTTTAATTGTGTATTTTTCATGTGACATTGTCTTAAATGAAATTACAATCGTCTCCATTCCCT